TCCTCCTTTCCTTCCCCTCTCCTCCCCTTTTCCCCATGCACTCTCCTCCTTTCCCCATACACTCTCACTCCTTTCCCATCCACACGCCTCTCACTCCTTTCCCCCATGCCTCTCACTCCTTTCCCCCATACCTCCTCCTTTCCCCATGCCTCTCCTCCTTTCCCCATCCCCTCTCTCCTTTTCCCCATGCACTCTCACTCCTTTCCCCATGCCTCTCCTCCCTTTCCCCATGCCTCCTCCTTTTCCCATGCCTCTCCCTCCCTCCTGTCCACACCCCAAACATTTTTTCGTTCACATTCTTTCCCTTCCATCCAACCTCTTTCCCTCCCGTATACAGTCTCTCCCCCTTCCCGTTCACACTCCCATCATCTGTCCACACTCCCTCCCTCCCGTACATGTCTTTTTCTCCCGTCCACACTCCGTCCCCGTCCATATTCCTCCCTTCTACTGTTTACATTACCTTTCACCCTTCCGTATATAGTCCCACTCTCTCGCCCTCCTCCTGTCCACTCCTCACCCTCCCCGTCCACTCCCCACCTCCCTCGTCCACTCCCATTTCTCCCCGTCCACCTCACCCTCCCTCGGTCCAGACTCCCCACCTCCCTCCCGTCCATGCCTACTCTATCAAGTGGAGTGTTTGTTCCAGATGTGTCCAGACCTTGCTTGCTCCATTGGACGTGATTTTTTATTTATTTTTATTTTTTATCATTATTATTACAACTACAGTATAGTCTCTTGTATCACCGGACACACACACACACACACACACACACACACACACACACACACACAGACAGCTGTATGGCCGTCAATCAGTCCCTTAATTAGCTGCTTTTCCCCTCATTTATAACCAGTAACTACGTCGTGGTTGTCTGGCAGGGAGGAGATGCTGGGAACATAGAGTGAATGGTACTTGTGTTTTAAGAATCGATCGCATATTGTTTGAGACACTTTTTTTTCTTTCTTTAATCATTAACGTAACGCCCTCCTTCCTCACCGGGCTGAAGTAAATGACCTCCTGAGCTTCAAGGCGACGTAGATGATGTGTTTGTGGTGTCAGTTGAAGACGACGATGCTGAACGTTATATTCTCTGATTACTCAAGACAACCAAGAGGAGGAAGAGGAGGAATTTCTACCAATATACACCTGAGAGACAAGGTTCGTGCTGCGCTCCTCTGAGACGATGATAAGAGTCTCACTGAAGGAGGTGGTGAGGCAATGAGGGAATAACAGCAGAAAAGGAATAAGAAGTAGGAAGTATAGTGAAGGCAAATAGCGGTATATATAAAGTGGTTTCTAATCGATTACAAACTGAGAGTAAAAAATAAAAAGACTAAACAGTTTCACTCTGGTTTTCGTGAACGTGGTCAGGGTGGTTAAGTTAGTCTCGCCAGCCAGCCTTTGTTTACTTCCTGGTCAAGGTGTTGCGTACGTGCTGCTGGCCCCACTCTTGTACTTATTGACTAACGAACTTACCCAGAGCATTTAACACCCCGAGAGAGAAAGAGACAGACAGACAGACAGACGCAGACAGACAGGCGCAGACACACACATAGAGAGAACTGTCCTACACTCATACATTCACTCAATTATCTTTACTTTCACTACATTAATTGGTTTTGTCCATAAGACCTGGCTGGGTCCTCTGACTGCCAGGCATGGACCGTCACAATAACACGGCTCAAGACGACTGCTGATGGACCGTAACTAAATGCTGCTTTTATCAGATCGTTATTTTGTATTACTATAGGTTGGTCATTATAGTCTAACACAGTAAAACCTCCATTAAACGGACATAAACCTCATGGATATAGTCCGTTGTATGAGGGTTCACATATAATAGACCTCGATATAATGAACTTTACTCTCGCATATAGTCTATTCTAAGGGGGGTCTCACATCTAATGAACCTCGATATAACGGACTACACTCATATAATTCGGTAAATAGAGGTTCTCACAGCATATAGAAACTCCTTAGTTCGTGAATTGATGTTTACTAAATGAGCAGCCAAACGACAACGGTGCAAAACACACAGAGGTTGATTCTATAACACCCGACTATTACCATCAACGTGTTTATAAATCTGTGAATAAATAATGATTAGGTAGGTAATAACTGCCACTCGTTTATTGTAGAGAACTAGGAATAACGATTCTAAGTGTGATGATTATTACATCACACGACCTCTGGAGTCTGGCGAACGTTGAGTGGAGCGACGACAACTTAGCGGTGATGGACGTCCCCCTCTCTCCCACCCTCCTATCCGGCTCTCCTCACCTGTCTCTCTCCACCAACTTCCTATCATCATTCCTACCTCTCCTCCCTCTCCCTCCTTTCTCTCTCTCACTCCATTTCCTTAACTGTTTGCATCATCTCTTGCCTCCCTCACCTCTCTCTTTCTCTCCTTAGCAACAAACTTTCCTCCCTCCTCCCTCCCTCCCTCCCTCTCACTCACTCACCCCAAGTCTCCAAGCGGTGGTAGGTGTGAGAGCGATAGTGCCTGAGTGTATGACAGAGGGCAGTTGAAGGAATGGGCTGGGCTGGGCTGTAGGCTGCCACACCCTTAGCCCCCCACCGTGGGTTTTTGACGCCGCAGGAAACAAGTCATATTTTACACTCCGGAACTGAAAGTTTGTTAGAAAAAAAAAATGTTTTTCTTCAGTTGGGACATTAGAATATAGATACAGATGGAAGTGCTTGCCACCTTTGACCAGTTGTTCTCAATAGCCAGCTGTCCCATTAACTAACCAGCTGTACACATTAACCAACCATCCGTCCCCAGTAAGTAACCAGCTGTCCCCAGTAACTAACCAGCTGTCCCCGGTAACTAACCAGCTATCCCCAATAAGTAACCAACTATCCCCATTAACTAACTTGTCAGGTCAACTGGTTAACCACCTACCCCATTAGGTCGATCCACTTGGCGGCTGATGATGACCTAAAATCGCCTTTCCCCATTAGATAACCACCTGGGCCTCTCCATCCTACTCTTAACTGACCTGTCGCTGCCCCACTACTTTTACCTCCCTTCCCCTTCGCCTCCCACTCCTACCCCTTTACCCCGTTTAATCCCATTAACTATCCCCATTATAGATCATTTTCACACGCAGCCCCCTTAGTTTAATCGCGTGGACCCACCCTTGACACGACGGCGCCATTACCCTTACCCCCAACCCATTTTAACCCATTAACTGTCCCGCACTCATTAGAGAACCATTTGACGCACTCCCACCATGAAACGCCCACCCACCCCTTAGTTTAGTCGCAGGGACACCCCCCTTCCCCCTTTGACACGGCGGCGCGCGACCTGGGCCAATATACTGTCCCCTTTAAGGAAGAATGTACCTCTCTAGTATCTCTACCTCTCACTGTATCAGTGAAATGGCCACCCTTTGGTATACTCCCTTTAGGGGGGGGAATGGTAACCCCCCCCTAAGTTTCACTCCCCCTTCTTCAGTTAAACGATTGTCTATTGGTCTATATATCCTCTCTGTTAACTGGTTATTGTACTGTATTCCCCTCGGTTCCATTCCTCCCTATAAAACTAACTGGTTCCGTTCCTCACATTAAGATTACTTACAACAGCTCTCTCTCTCTCTCTCTCTCTCTCTCTCTCTCTCTCTCTCTCTCTCAAAATATTGCACGAGATTACCTCATTCTTTTTCCTGTCAGTGTACCACGTTAATACACACTCAAGAAAATGTTCCTGTACGCACTTAACCAAATCATCAACAACTCTCACCCGCGAGTCGTCATGGTCGTGTACCAGATTCCAACTTTTTTTATATATATTACGAATTCATGTGTGACCTCTGGCCTGACCCGCCCTCATGATATATATTCCCCTGACGTCATAATTATGTATCCTCCCTGTTGTGTTGTGATTGGTCGGTGAGTCGGGTGGTCAAGGAATGGTCAACTACATAAGGGTGTCCATTAATGACGATATTATACGGCGCAGTGTCATTGGCCTCGCCCTACGAGCTTGTCACGGGAGTTATAGGGTGTATGGTGTGTCTGACATCAGATTGGCGTATGTTTTGTATCATACGAAATACAGAAGTATACAATAATTACACCCCGGGTTTAAAAGCACTGATAACGTTGGCTACACTCCAGTTCATAACGTTATCACAGGTGCTAGTAATGTCACCACACCTGTTGATAACGTTAACCAGCTGATATCTTCACCACACTTGCTGATAGCGTTAACTAACCTGCTGATATCTTCATCACACCTGATAACGTTAACTAACCTGTTGATATCGTCACCACACCTGTCGATAACGTTATCACAGATGCTGGTAACTTCACAACACGTGGGAGGTGTCACCAGAACAAATCGTGACATCATTACTCGTAACAATAAGGTACCACACAAGGGGTTAAAGAAAGGGAAGGGAACGGTAAACATTGGATAGAGGGAGATATAAGAACATTCAGAAATAACGGAGGAATCTAGTAAAGGAAGAAGAGAAGAAAACAAAGACAGACAAACACGAGAGAAAGACTTTTCGCCGCGTTGAACAGAGGACAGTAAGTGAGGGATAGTAGGGAAGAGACAAGGACAGAGAGAATAACAAAAAAACGTGGACAGAAACACTTAAAAATTGAAAGGATTTGGGTTAGCGAGAGAGGGGAAAGCCAAGTCATCAGACGTCACAAGCTCTCCCCTCTGGCGGTGAGGGGATGAGCATCCCAACACAGCAACAATACAACAACAGCTGCTGCTCCAGGCCAGACGCGTCACCCTCCTCTCTCCCGCGTGTAAACATCTCGTCCAGGTTTATTTTTTTTTGGCTCGCTTAATTATTGCATCACCTGCGGAATGATACCAACATTACCTCAGCTGGTTTAGTTCTGTTATTCTGGGTACAGAATATTCAAGTGAAACTTAAAGTTCTGTTGCTTAGATGACCAGTTTGGCCTCAGTTCTACAGTGTATGTTAAGATTGTAAATACGCATAATTAGTTAACAAAGTGCTGCAAAACTTACCTTACGCACAGCAAAAAGTTCCACCATAGACGCTTTTCCCTCGGGGTTTCTAGATTTACTGGCGATAAATAAACAAAGGGCAAGCAACAAGAGCGCGGGTCGGCCACCACAACACACGGCCGCCACCCTGGAGCGACGTACTTCCTCTCTCCTTCACCTCTCACACCACACTGCTGAGTGCTGAGCTGCCCCTGCTCGCTCCCGACCCTTCGAGTCCCTGGTCTTGCTCGCCCCAGTTAGGCTTCCCTCTAGCTGTCGGTCAAGGGGCGAAGGGATTACAGACTTATAGGATTTCCATATTGATTCTTCAGATTGAGTTTACACGTCAGACAGGAGTAGCGAGCGATGGTACACAGTACGTAACGGAAGAGGGACGGTAACAATGGCGGACCGATGCCTTGATACTTTATGGGTTAAAACACACACAGCCATGGCGGGGGAACAGAATGATGGAGGGTAAGAGGCAGTGGTGGAGGGGAAATACAGGGAGATGGACTCTGATGGAGGCACTGGGGTGGTGGACAGAGGGGAGGATGATGTAAACAGTGGAGATGGTGGATGGTTGGTAGATGGGAAGAAGAGATGATAACTGTATGAGTAGAGGGAGGAGAAAGAGGTGGTTAGAGATGACAACCATGGGGACGATGAATAAGGGAGATGGAAGAGAACAAGTTAAAAAAAAAATACAGCAACAGGGAAATCGTGCCATCCCCACATAACACAGCACCGAGAGGGGCGCCGACCTCATGAATTTTATAGCTAAGATGAAACAAGAGAACTGAGTATAGTGTGCAGACCTTCAATCTCTTGACCCTTGGCTTAGGATAATCTAAGACTGGCCTGGGTCACGACTCTGCTGCCGATGCCGACCTTCCTGGCCAAATTTGTTGTAGTATCCACCCACTCTTGATAGTGATGATCCTGGCCAAGTCTCTGAGAACCTACAGTCACATAAAGATAACTCGCCTACCGAACCCTTATCCTTCCACAGGGGGCATTGGTAGTACTGTAATGCACACTGACAGTGTTTAATGGAAATGGCTGGGTTAAATAGATTTTTGGGGGGGGGTATATTTGCGTCCATGTTAAGGTTAAGACGCCATTTTTATGGTGCTGCAACTACATGTGTTTCCTACCAAATTTTTACATGATACATAACTATATTTCTGGACGAATTCGTGGGATATTGAGGAATCGCGCACGACCTCGTAAACTCTTAAAGGGATGGACACATTTTCTGTAAACTTGGCAGCAACATTTGTTCGCCTAAGAGCACGTTCAGAGGTGTCAGACTCACGCCGTCTAGTTCTGAACTTGTATTGGTATTTAAAAAACGTACTTTTTGATTGTATATCCACGGCGGGTATGATAATTTTCTGCTGACTGTAGTTAATTAACCTGGGGGCTACGCTGCCTTTCTAGTGGAAGCGAATAGTGTTTATAGCAAACTGATCAATAACACTAGACTACGGTTTCGATAGAATTAGACTTTATGATAGAAACTGAAGATGTTTTGCCAACAATACAATTGATATGATTCCCAAGAACATGAACGGTTTAGTTTTGATAATAATTTAGATATATAATTTCCATGAAGTAAATGTAGACGATGTTATACGAAATATGGTTTAAAAGCATATTTTATGCCTTGAATCTCGCTGGCGTATGTGTAAAGAATTTTGTCATCCAGCTACGTTTATGAATAACATGTATAAAGAAATATGAAGTGCTGTTGGCGCACACAGTGATGTTGATTCCTAAAGAGTGTTTTCACACCATGACACAAACTGTCCGAACGAGTGAGTTAACAACACATATCTCACACTATATTCGAATCAATTCTACTTCGAATCTTTCAAATTTTATCCACATCCAGAATTGAGGAAAAGGATGTTTTATTGTCTGCTGTTGTGTCTTTTATTTATCTGCAGGAATTTTTTATTCCCCACCCAGTATTTCGCATCGTCTAACTAACACAATACAATGTCTCAAGCTTTAGTTAGATTTTTCAGTTGCTTTTTGTTTCACTTGTGTATATTGTCTCATTCTTATATCTGGCCTATAGTTGGTGCTGCTTTCTTGTATACCGAAGGCATTGTATATAGTCTCCTTAAAGGGACCTACTTGCTCTTTTCACGGGGTTTAGGTCTTTCTTTGACAGTTGGGACTTTCATTAGTGTGAAGGAAATTTAGTCATCAGTTTAATCCATTCATGAGTGATATAGGCTTCAACTAAACCTGTTGCATACTCGTGTAAATACAGTACTTTGTTTTTCATATTGGTTCTTAATCTCGTAACTTATTCGGTTTCATTATATTTTTTCAATTGGTGTAAACTTCCGACTGCACCACTGACTCAAAATGTGTGTTTCTGTTTGCCTATGTCTTTTTGTCTATCTGTTTGCCTGTCTCTCTATGTGCCTCACTGTATGTCTGAAAGAAAGTGCAGGGGCGGATCCAGGAATAACAAAAGGGGGTCCAAGAAGTTGTGGGTGGGAGAACATGGCGGGTACAGCGAGCCCTCCCAGCTGTTTTTTTTTGGGGGGGTGGGGGAAGGCATTGTAATCCCTAGATTTTGCTTTTTAATCTGACCGATATCATAGGCATTTAAAGGCCATTTTGAAGTCATATGCACTCTATATTAGGAGATATTCTGAGGGCAATAGTAATTACTTTTTACTATACAAAAACGCCTGAGTACAATACTGCATTAAAGAAAAAGTATTGGAAGTATCTGCTGAAAAGGGGGGATCCCGACCCCTCCCCCCCCGCCCACCTGGATCCACCCATGCTGTGCGCCTGTGTGTGTATGTATGTACAGTATATATGTGTCTGTATGTTTGTGTATGTGTCTATCTCTGTGTGTGTGTGTCTGTCTGTCTGTGTCTCAATTTATTGGCAAATTTGGGTGTTTCAGGTACCTTGGTGTCATTTTACAGCCAAATTTGGGAAAACACGTGATTGCAGGGTAATTTAGTGGAGGTGGTGGTAGCTAAGAGGGTGGAGGTGGTGGTAGCTACCACTACCTCCACCGTCTTAGCTACCACCAACACTACCTCCTCCTCTACCACCTTCTCCTCCTCCACCATCCACCACCATAACTATCTCCTCTACTTCACGAAATGACATCTCACTAATTGTAATTACTTTTCAAACGCTAATTACTCGCTACCCATGGTTTTTCAAGATCATTTTTTTTTTATGTGTTATTCTCGATGTACTTAAGCATCAATTTGGATGTAAGGCGCACAGGCCAGACGGAATACCCCCTCGTGTTCTGAGGGAGTGTGCTAAAATTCTGGCCCCTGTGCTTGCTCACCTCTTTGCCTCAAAACCCAAACTTTTCCTTTTTCTTGGAAGCATGACTTGGTTCAGCCCATCCTGAAGAAGGGTGACCATTCTACTCCATCTTATTATCGCCCAATTGCCCTAACTTCATCCCTCTCTAAGATTTTTTAAACTATCTTAGACTCATTTTCTCTGTCACCTTGAACGTCTTTCTCTTTTGTCGGATCACCATTCACCAACATGGCTTTCACCAGGTGAGATCTACTGGTGTTCTGCTCTCCTACTGCACCCATCTTTGGTCATCCTCTCTCAGGAATTATGGGGAAACTTTCGTCGTGGCCCTCGACATGTCCAAAGCATTTGACAGGGTATGGCACAAGTCTTTGCTTTCTAAACTTCCCTCTTATGGTTTTTCTCCCCCACTTTGTTCTCTAATTTCTAGCTTCCTTGAGGACCGATCCATAGCAGTTGTTGTCGAGGGATCGATCTCTCGCTCTTTCTCTACCAATAGTGGTGTTCCACAGGGTACTGTACTGTTCTTTCGCTTACTCTCTTCTTTCTTTTTATCAATGATTTACTTCACACTACTAATAATTCTATTCATTTTTATGCTGAAGATTCTACTCTTCACTCTTCTCATTTTTCTCTTCCCCCTATCTCTCAAACTAGATCTGTTTCTAGAAATTATATCGTTTCATCTATCAATACGGATCTGTGCAGCATCTCCGAATGGGGAGGTAGCAATTTGGTTAAATTCAATTGTAATAAAACACAGTACGTATTTACCCATTATACTTTCCAAGTGGAAGATCTCCCACCAATCACATTTCAGGATGCAATCATTCTGCCAAATTCTAGAACAGATATGCTAGGCCTCACCATTTCCTCTAATATGTCATGGAAGCCACACATCCACAGCATTGCTAAAGCTGCCTACCGAAAGCTGGGAATGCTGTACAGATGCCATAGCTACTCCACTCCTGAGCAGTTGCTTCAAGTTTATAAGGGATTCATTCGTCCTAACTTGAAGTACTGCTCTCATATCTGAGGTGGCTCTTCTTCTGTCCAACTGTTAGGCTTTTCATCTTATTAATTCTCCTCCTTTAGTCAATAATCTCTCTTCCCTTTCTCTTCGCCACAATGTTGCTTCACTCTCTTCTGTGGATTTGGCATCCTGTGTACCGCTGGCAAGGCAGTGGGCTCATAACACTCGTCTTTTCCTCAGTGCCCACCGTTTCTGCGTGAATGTCGCTCGCACTAGAATAACCGGATACCGACATGCTTCTTTTCTCACACAGCCAAATTGTGGAATGCTTTACCTTCTGTGTTTCCATACTCTGACAATCTGTCTCACTTAAATATAGAAATATGGCAAATTGAGTACTCATTGTTTTTGTGTTAAGATTAGACTAATTACATAGCCATGATTGTTATGTAATTGTACATTGGATTAAACATTTATGTAGGAGTACCTATGTATGACTGATTTCAAATACTAAATGAATTGTATTCAACAGGTTTGACCGAATTATAATGTTCGAGTACTACGAGAAGAGACTAAATATCCTTAACCGCCTGACTGGCTGTTACAGTCAAACGTAAATGTCTACTGTGTAGCGTGCTACCTTGAACCAACGCGCGGGCAGCAGTAACCAAGGCCAACTCAACTCAACCCACTGGAGGGATGGGCGTGAGTGTGTGCTTGCGCGCGCGCGTTCCCAGTGCCCTGGATTACAATGCAACGCCCGTAGATTTATAGTGGCGATAATACTTGAACCTTTTGTTATTGAAGAGAATAATGTTGTCAAAGTGAGCTCAGCCACTCTTAGTGTAGCTTGGCTCACCAACACGCGTCACTCGAGGGACGAGTGTGTGCGTGTGGATGTGTGTGTATT